TTCTATTTTCATCAGGAAAGAGGAGATGAAAAATTATTCTCAGGGGTAAAATCAAGGACAAACACAATCTCAATATTAAAACAAGACTGACAAAAATCTCTGTGCCTTTGTCCTGCCAGCTCTGTTTCATGCCTCAGAAAAATGAGCACATACATACAACATCATAAATTTCAGAACTGCACAGAGAAATATCAGAAGCGCAGCCTGAAAGCAGATTTGTTCATTATCAAGAGCTGCAGAATCATCCCTTATCATTACTGGCACACATTTGTAACCTCCCATCCAAATATTAAAAACTCCAGTCTTTGCAGACCTCTGCAGTGCAGGCACAATCAGGGGGAACTTTCTAATGGGGAACAGCACTGGAAACTGCAGTGTGGAAGACAAGAAGAGAACTAAGCTGTTCTTTAAAGGCCAGGCACTTATCAACATTAGGATGAACTCTGGCAATATCAGGATGTAGTTTTAATCTATACCAAAGCCATTTTCACAGTGGCAATCTTGCTACCAGTGAAAGTGCATTTTACACAATAATGACAGTTGTAAAGAATCAACAGTCATTGTATCACAGTATCACAGTATGCTAGAGATTGGAAGGGACCTCGAAAGATCATCTAGTCCAATCCCCCTGCCGGAGCAGGAACACCTAGATAATGTTACACAGGAATGTGTCCAGGCAGGTTTTGAATGTCTCCAGGGAAGGAGACTCCACAACCTCCCTGGGCAGCCTGTTCCAGTGTTCCGTCACCCTCACTGAGAAGAAGTTTCTTCTCAAGTTTAAGTGGAACCTCTTGTGTTCCAGTTTGTACCCATTACCCCTTGTCCTATCATTGTTTGCCACTGAGTAGAGCCTGGCTCCATCCTCGTGACACTCCCCCTTTATATATTTATATACACTAATAAGGTCACCCCTCAGTCTCCTCTTCTCCAAACTATAGAGACCCAGCCCCCTCAGTCTTTCCTCATAAGGGAGATGCTCCACTCCCTTAATCATCTTCGTTGTCCTGCGCTGGACTCTCTCCAGCAGGTCCCTGTCCTTCTAGAACTGAGGGGCCCAGAACTGGACACAATATTCCAGATGCGGTCTCACCAGGGCAGAGTAGAGGGGAAGGAGGACCTCTCTCGACCTACTAACCACCCCCTTCTAATACACCCCAGGATGCCATTGGCCTTCTTGGCCACAAGGGCACAGTGTTGGCTCATGGTCATCCTGTCGTCCACTAGGACCCCCAGGTCCCTCTCCCCTACACTGCTCTTTAATAGGTCGTTTCCCAATCTATACTGGAACCTGGGGTTGTTCCTGCCCAGATGCAGGACTCTACACTTTCCCTTGTTATATTTCATCAAGTTATTCCCTGCCCAACTCTCCAGCCTGTCCAGGTCTCGCTGGATGGCAGCACAGCCTTCTGGCGTGTCAGCCACTCCTCCCAGCTTAGTGTCATCAGCAAACTTGCTGATAGTACACTCAATTCCCTCATCTAAATCATTGATGAATGTATTAAATAATACTGGTCCCAGTACTGACCCTTGAGGCACTCCACTAGTTACAGGCCTCCAACTAGGCTCCGCCCCATAGACTACAACTCTCTGGCTTCTCTCCTTCAGCCAGTTCACAGTCCACCTCACTACCTGATCATCCAGACCACACTTCCTCAATTTAGCTGTGAGGATGCTGTGGGAGACTGTGTCAAATGCTTTGCTGAAGTCAAGGTAGACCACATCCACCACTCTGCCATCATCCATCCACCGTGTTATTTCCTCATAAAAGGCTAAGAGATTGGTCAAACATGATTTCCCCTTGGTGAAGCCATGTTGACTGCCCCTCATAACCCTCTTATCCTTGATATGCCTTAAGATGGCACCAAGGATAAGGTGCTCCATCACTTTCCCAGGGATTGAGGTGAGGCTGACTGGCCTATAGTTACCCGGGTCTTTTAACTTCCACTGCAGAGCTCACAGGCAACACAACACATGAGCATTCCAGCAGTCATTCAATAACTCATGAAGCTGTACATCTGCAACACACCTAACCTCTCATCCCAACATTAACCTTACAGTACAGATACTATCCAGTGAGCCCAGTTAGCAGTATCCAGTGGAAGACAAGCCAGCAAAGGTATTAGGTCGGTATTCTGTATCCAGCAGCCTGCACAAACATGTGCAGACTATGGCAAGGTCCCATCTATTAGCACCAGCATCTCTGGTTCAGAGACATGCCTGTAATTTGAATCAATGTTTTAAAACAACAGGTTATGAGTTTTTAACCATGTTCAGGTCAGAGTCCCTATTCCCTTACCACCAATTGACTTAAAACTAAAAGATCACTATGAAGGGGCTTAATAAATACACATACAATAGTGAAAGAGATTTCACTTGCAATGGAAAAAGAAACCACCTGCCCTGGAAGCAGGGTGGTGGTGTCAGGCCATGCTCTCCTCCCAGCATCTTGCTGCACTTGGAGCTTGAGCCACCAAGTGCAAGCTCAGGAAGGGTCTCATTTTTATTGCTGTCAGTTCAATCCACCGCAAACACATTCTGATTCACTTTTAAATATATTCTGTAATCCAAAATAAAAGGGCTTTACAAAACCATAAATAAAGCAGATTGCAAAATACACCACGCTTAAACAAACTGACTCAGTGCTTTAGTTAATGTACTGTAGTGAGCCCTCAATATCTGTATGTTTAAAGTGTGGCCCTCTATAATGCTTTTTTTTTACATTAATATTTTCTTTTTTTCTGCTCAATTGATACCACCCACATTTTTCATGAATTTACAAAGAGGGAGAGGACTGCAAATAAATACAAAAAACCCCACAGTTAGCACTAAAATACTGTTATGATCATGTACTAAAAGATGTATTGAAAAGGTGAGCACTAGAACTGTAAAGCACTAAACAAAATCATGGCTCAAGCTTCACTAGGAAATACAAAACAGACAGGACTTCAATTCACATTAAAATAAGGCTTACTGTCGGCATGGGAAATAAAATCCCCCATCTCTTGCCTCTTGTCAACTTGAAAAGCAAGGACCGCAGCAAAGGTTTCAGCAGAGGAAAGCAAAAGCTCCTTAAAGTCATGCAGAAGAAAGCCACCAAAACTTCCCCAAAGCCTGAAACAAAACAAGTTCACACACCTCAACCAACAAAATAGTGGGAAGAAATCCTACAGAACACGGTTCTTCTCTGAAATGATTCATCATTCTCTCCCTTAACCTGGTTCTTTTTATTCTCTGTTCCTAGACATCAGTTTCCTTCATAAATATCACATCTTCAGCAGAACCAGAGGTTAATCCTCACTACCTCATCATTAGAATTGCATGCAAGAGATCTTCATGCTAAGCCCAAAGGAGTACTGTGGAGAAATAACCCAAGCTATTAACTCAGGGTTGTGCTGAGCAGCACACTCCCATTTGACATTACCACAGGGACCTCCAGCATGAGGTCAGTTCATTTGGTATAGCTGTGTATCAACTACAGTAAGTTCAAGCTTCTACAAGCAGTTGTTCCAACACTAAAGCTTGAGCTGTTTGGTGCTTTTCATCAACAGATGAAGGAGTGTGTCCTATGGTAAAGCTTCTCTGAGCCCTGTAAGCATGTGGTTAGGAACTCGGTGCTGTCATCTCAGAACAGATGGCTGAAATGTTCACAAAGAAACGAATTACATGATCAATTGGAGCTGTCTAATAACCTGCTGTGCTTTTTGCACATCAGTACACATAACACTCTCCACTCTACAAACTGAGGTTGCACGAGCACTAAGAAGGGTGAAAGCTCCTGTGAGTACAGAGGTGTTTACAAGAGCCCCTATCATTTTCAGACTGCCAAATACTAAAATACAACCAGAGAGAACACAAAGGGTTTATAGGTGTCAAATGTTCTGCAAAAAAGCTGCACCAGCTTTTGTGTTCAGGCCATCTTCTCTTAGTTTTATTAATTGTGTCTGAAAAACATGTAGCAATAGAAGGAAAAACAACAGTGAAGCCTAAAATGCTGCACAAAACCAAACAAGGCAGAACTGAATGTTAACTTCTATATAATTCAGTTTGGTAAATCCCAGGGATGAAGCAAGTATGAAACAAAACATGAGAATGACTTTGGAAACTAATATTAAATCCCATTTTTTTCCCCGATTGTGTTTATACCAATATCACTGCTTACAATGCATAGATTACTTTCCACAGTCGATCACAGGTAGAAATACACAGAATGTGAATTTAGGAGAGGCAATAGCCTTTCTTGCCCATGTTTCTGTTTAATAATTCAGGTATTTCAATCAACCTTGTGCTTTTTCAGAATAAAACTCTGCTACTCTTAAGAAAAAGAAGGGTTATGTACTTTCTTTCTTACACAGGCAAAGTCAGCTCTAGTTCATAACCATAACAGAGCTGATCCCAACGCTCATACAGCAGGAGAGTGCAGGCTGAGCTTTAACTCAGAGATTGAACAACACTGCCCCTTCCCAGCCAGAGGCAGGCAGGGGAAAAGCCAGTCTGTTAAGGATGCACCATTCAGAAGCATTAGGGTACCAGATGAAATCAAAGTGTGCGAAGTGGTAGAAGCGGAGAGAATTAGCCCCTTCACTGCAGCGTGCAGAAAGAAGTTACAGACTACAGCAGACTTCTTCTTTAAACTCACCCAGTAATTCCCACTACTGCTGATACAGTAGAAAATAGACAATTGTAGTTTAAACATAATGAAATCCTTACTTGCAAGCCAACAAAACTCCATCAAAGATAAGGGACAAGTGCATGTTTTATTATGTACCAGACTGTCCTTAAAACTATTGTATTTCCTGAAAAACAAATCCCAAAGCCAAGCTCACAAACCTCTTTCTATTTTATGATGGTGTTGGTGAGTTTACTTTGTAGTTCATTAATGTGACAAAGTACCTGCAAGGTCTATAATTCCAGACTGCTGGTGCAGAAGGCAAAGTTAACCTGCTTTAAAAATCAAGAAACACATAAAAGCTCAAGAACAATTGTTTCTCTTGGCTACTTCAGTATTTGTGTCTCAGCAGTCCACAAGTCTGTCAGGGCCCCTTATGAAAAAGCTTTGATAAATACTAGCTTTTCACTATAAAGATAATATTTCACACAAAACACAATGGGAGTATACAGAAGCAGCTCGTCTTTTAGCATGAGGAGAGGGCAAAGACTCACTGTACTAAACAAAGATTTCTGAATTCCTAAAAAACAACATTTAAAAACAGCACCCACAAAATGACATAGTAAAAAATAAAAGGGGAGGGGGCAGAGAAAGGGGGGGCAGAGAACTGTGTATTTCTTTAATTTGGGATATTTAAGCGTATTTCTCAGAACATTGCTTGAGATTCCTTGAGGAATCTGGAAGAAAAAGAAACTGGAGTACTCAGAAGTGAGTCTCAAATGACTGTCCCTGGTTAGTTTACAGAGCCAAGTAGCTGCTACCAGCATTTAAAGACAGTTAATTATTCATACTAAGGAGAAAATCATTTTAATGATTAACTGCAACTGTTTCACACTTCTCCCCCCTAAGACACAGAGCAGCTGCACCTCCTCTGAGAGCACAAAAAAAAACAGGAGAAGAGTTTAAGAGAAGATGACTGAAAGTGGTTATGGGACCACCTGATTTTTATTTCAGACTTTTTGATTAGTGAAAAGGAGGAACCACTTCACTCTGATCCAGAAAGCAAGGCAGCAGCTCCTGCAGATCCTGAGCTTCAGTCGTTTCTACTAGACAGTACTCTCTTCATTCCATAATTAACCATCCAATGCCAAATGAGATCCACATTTCCAATTCAACACCCAACATGATTACAGTTGTCAAATTTTGTTGTAAAACACCTGAGACATCTCAAAGAGGAACAAACATTTTCGCAATGCAACAGCCCAGAACAACTCCAGATGCTGGGTCCTTGCACTTAAAAAACCCAAACCACACAGATGCAATCTAATCGAATTACGGGGTTTTTCCTCCTTCCAGTACAGTTCTCAGTTCTGGTTCCTACCACTTGACTGGGCTTTCCCCTCGTGACTGTTCTGTCTTCACATAAGCATCATACAGTTCTCTCAAACAAAACAACAGTTCCTCTAGGTTGTCTCCTGTCAATGCAGACAACGCAATGACCCGGTCAGCTACGTGTTCTTTAAGGAGTGGCAGATTGATCCTGGACTGAGCAAGGTCAATCTTATTCCCAATGACAACACAAGGCCTCTCAGACAATCCTTTTCGATATTGTTCCAGTTCATATTTTAAGTCTTCCAGCTGAATCCATGGCTGAGACACAGAGAGATCCACTACATACAAGAGAAAGCGGCAGCGTTCAATATGCCTTAGGAAGGCCATCCCGAGACCCCTGTTTTGATGAGCACCTTTTATTAGGCCAGGGATGTCAGCAACTACAATGAGAGAAATTCCACAGTGAATCCAACATATCCAACAACAACAACAACAAAAGATCAAACAAAAAGAAACCCCAAGCCAGTTTTTTACTGGCCAGTACAAGTATTTCTAGAATTACATCTCAATGCACCAACACCTCACAATAAGTTTAGCTGCTCTTACCTTTTAAAACACCCAAATTGAGTTCATTCCAGAGAAGAGAAAACACACATTGCTAGTTTGCTATTAAGGGCACATATAAGTGAATGTGAAATGGATTTTCAGTATTGTTTTGTTTGAAGTTCCTTAGAACCAACAAGAATTCTACAGAACTACTAAACTTACTTCTGCAGTACTGCAAAGAACAACCACAGTGACACAAATTGCCATCAAGGTACACACAGTGTACTACAGTTCTGACCTGCTACTTGCTCATAGTCGTGATAGTGGACGACGCCAACGTGAGGGTTGAGGGTTGTGAAGGGGTAGGCAGCCACTGCTGGCCTGGCACGGGAGACTGCTCTCAAGAGTGATGATTTACCAGCATTGGGAAAGCCCACCTGGAACACAAATACTTATTAAAGCCAAGGTTCTGGGCTAATCCTGATAAAAAACAACTGTAAGCTTCTACAAATGTGGCAAGGTTTTCCAGGATGAACTTAACGTTAGCTTTGCATACTTAGCTCTGAAAAGCACCCTGGTTTTCATGTTTTGTTGCTCCTAAATCCTGATTTATGATAAATGTATTTGCTCATGAACATGAAACAAATCCCCTTAACTTTCTTTATGCCATCTTAAGTATTTACTTTGTCCAGAACCAAGAGGGCTCTTTTACCCTGAAATAACGTTATGACACTTCATCCAGCACTTCCCATTTTATCTGTGTTTTCTAACTCCTATTTATTATTTTCCATAAGAATTCAGAACTGGCTTTGTCCTTGACTCAGTTTGGCCTATAAGTAAGACACAAGTTTGGGATTTCACAGCTCTTCATAGACTCAAGATCAAAGAATTAAATTGAAACCTGGCCTTCCAGGGAGAAGGCAAGAATTTCCATGTGTCCAACCAGTCAGAGAATTACACATACTGATCCACCAATGCCAACTCTTTTCTTAGTCTCTAAATATAAATTCACAAAATTCTGCTAGACCAGACAGTTATTCTGCAGTTGTTGAACTGCTGTTATGCAGCAAAGCATCATTTTAACAGCTTTACCAGCTGGCCTTAAAACATTTACATGCTTAGATAGGAAAACTGCATAAACCCTAAATTGATTTTGCATTCATGTCTAAATAGTGTATTTTATTTCAGAAGATGATAACCCTGGAACAAACAAAGTAAAACATTAAATATCTGTAAAGAGAAAAACATAAGGATGAAACAGAAGATGATTTGAAATTTATCAATTTTGGTTTAAAAAAAAAAAACACAAGAAAGCAGAAACTAATTTAGAAGAACTCTCCATACTGTGCTGTTACCTACAGAATCAGCAGACAGAGCCTCCTGTACACCAGCAGCAAGTCTGTTAATCACTGATCAATCTCACACACTGCTTTTCTATACATAGTTTTGATTTGAGCAGAAGGAGGATGACATCAAGGATCAAGAGAGTGACAGCTCTGCAAATCACTCTGGACATCCTTCTACCAAGCAACAGCAAGAAAGTATCAAGCTGCATCTCTAAACAAGCAAGCCAAGTGACTAACAAAAACGTTATCAAACATTATTTCTTCAGTCAGTCAAGTGTCATCCTACAATGCTAAGAAAGTTGAAGAACCGACAGTGACACTCACCAGTCCTGCATGAGCGGCTGTCTTTAGTTCCAGATGGAGGATCCTTTCCTGCCCTGGTTCTCCTGGAGTAAATGTTGTTGGAGACCGGTTTTCATTGGAAAGAAAAAAACGATTACCTTTCCCTCCAGCTCCTCCATAAGCTGCAACATACTCTTCTCCATGTTGAGTGAGGTCAGCCACAACTTTCCCATCCTCCTTAACCAGTGTACCTACAGGTACCTTAAAGAGAAGAGAGATGCCAAGTGTTAAACTGAACTTGAAGTCTGCAGCAGAACTGTCTTCAGCACATCCCTTATCAGCTGACTTCAGATTTGTTGAAAATCATTCCTTCATATTGTCAAGATTAGGAATCCAGAAAGAGAAGTGGATTTCACAAGACACCTTCTGAACCCAAACAGCACTGGTGAGACATCTGCAGTCCATTCAAATGTTAACAGAACCATAACCCTCTTTCTTTCAAGAAAGGAGAGAAAAGCAGCCTAAGCACAGTAGTGAGTTGAGAAACATATTGCTTCTCATAACCAAAACAGGCATGCTGGAGAAAAAAAAGTATGAAAGAAAAATTCTGCTCCCATTGAAGAAGTTCTGTGTTACGACTCCTTTAGGAGTATGACCTATAGAAGTAGAGCAAATCAGGACAGCATCTGTTTTGGCCAGATGTTATCTTCCAAAGGAGTCTTATTTTTACAAACACCTTTACAAGCAGCTTGATCTGCCTGTGTGCCAACCAGCCCCGTCTTAGCAGGCACAGCACACACAGCTCCCTGCAAAAACACACGAGATTCTCTCACAATAACCTTGAAAAGCAGCAATGTTAACACAAAGTTAACACAACAGCATGTGTTTAAACTTCATTTACTTACTTTAACATACAAATATGCACCGTTAGCTCCATAACAGTTTTTAATTCCTCCTCTCTCTCCATGGAAACCCTGATAAAAGGGGAGGACTGAAGAAAGTGATTTCATTTGCTGGTCAGCTGCAAAGCAAAATGCACATATTTTAAACAGCAGAACAGGCACAGAAGAGCAACCTCTTGACTATTCTTTCCCTTTAAAGTATTGCATGAATGAATACCCTATTTACTGTCTCAACATATGAGGTAACTACTAATATTAAGGGAAGTTAAGATGAAGTTTAACTGCCTTTACTACTTGTTTATTAACCATGCACTTTATTAAGTGGTCATTCAAAAAATCAACCATTGCAAAATGCTCTGGAAAATTCATGTTATAGATTTTGCAGCAGGGCAGAGGCAGAAGCAGCTTTATCCATCTTAAAATTTGCTCAGATCCCAGCCTTATCATAACATAATCAGGCACCAGCCACCAAAATGTCTGCAAAATACTCTATGAAAATGCTTTCTAAGGCATTTATGTCCCTGTTACCACAGCTCAGGACAACGCTTAAAAAGCAAAACCACCTTATACAGAAACACCCATTTTCACATTTTTGACATTTACCATGTCTGTAGGGTTGTTTTTGCTGGGGTGGTGGGGGTGTGTTAAGGGATAAGACAACACGAAACAAAACAGATTTACTAAGTTTTACCTTTCAAAATGACATGACCCCCATCACCCCCGTTTCCACCATCAGGACCTCCAAATATTTTTCTGGGTTCACTATAAAAAGAATGTCCTCCTCCTCCTCCTCGTCCTCCAACCACATGCACTTTCCGGTGATCCACAAAGTAGCGGGTCTGGAAGAGAAGTACAATTTATCAGAGTGATCTGCTAAGAAGTTAATGTTCTGCAAAACTCAGTAATATGCAGACCTGCTGCTCTGAGTCATGATGGAGGCCATTCAACTGTAAAAAAAAAACCAAAGAAACTGGAATTCTGATGCTATTCAGAGATCAGCCAAATACAGCATACTAAGAAAAATAATTCTGCTTTTTAAGTATTTTTAAGAACCCCCTTAAAAGTATGTGTCTGAGGCTATGTTGATATAACCAATGCAGCAGCTCAGATATCCGAGGTATAAAATTCACATGCAGGGAACTAACAACAGGGAAAGCATCCTGTTAATACAGTCATATAATGCTGGCAAGCAGCTCAAGGAAGGGCCCACACTATAAATAAAAAACACTCAGTAACTCATGAAAACAATCAAAAATATATACATGAACTTTTTACTTCTTTAAATTGAACTGAAATTTGCAAAAGGTGCATAGTGCATGTGTGGGAAGGATATTCTGACTGATTCACTGCTTTCTACAACAGGTGATGAAATTAAAGCAAACTTCAATCTTGTAACAACTAAGAAAAGTATTAAAGACAAAGAATAAAACACAACTGTAAACGTAAGAAGAAGGAATCTTAATTTATGCCCAACCAGTTGCTAAAAATATATAAAGCGAATTCTATGTCTTAGCACTATTTCCAACATTAACTTCAGATTTGACTGATTACACTGCACTATGTTTCAGCTTTTCTGTCAGCAAAATAGGTTTGATGATACTGACCCATCCCGAGGAAGCAGGCCGATATCCTCAAGGCAAAACATTAGATAAGTACACTCATATAGGCAGGTGAAATTGCTTACGATGGGGATGAAAAGAGATAGTATGACCTTGACTTGTGGTAACACCTAAATTCTGCCCATTACTAAGGGACTTCCTAATAATGGAAGAAGTCCAAATAAGTAATCAGGGTCACTTTAAACAGGCCAAACAGTATTTGAGGGAGGAAAAGTCGCCTTCATGTTATGATGCCGGAAAAATAACTACCGATAATCAGTTATACTGTGACCGGTGATTTCTTAAAAAGCCTTTTATAAAAGCATTTGGCACCACCACACGGCGAGACAGGAAACTAGTGCTTTAAATGGGAAGTGCATAGGAAGAGCATTAGAAAACAAGATTTTCCACAGACGCTTAATTAGAAAACGAACATGAAGAAAAACGTTCCAGGGCCTGCCGTGTCTCTGACATAAAGCGCTGCGTGTTTGGCAGCTGACTGCTATGCGTGAGACACAAAACAGCCTCTTAGCTTTAAAGCTATGTAAGGCTTTTTGCTCCCTCGACCTGTGCACGCACTGCAAACCGACAGCCGACTCCCTTCAGGACTTACCAGTTTCCTTTCCGAAATGATTCTTTTCTGCCTCAGCCGCCTGTTCTTCGAGCACCTCACGCACGTTGTGGAGAAAGGCACCGGCCGGCCTCCCCTCGGCAGCGGCACCGGGCTGAGGAGAACGACTGGCTTCCACAGCGGCCGGCTGCCCACCACGGCCCAGCACCGCGCCAGCATGGCTGGGCTCCGGGACCGGACGGGACGGGACGGAACGGGACCGGAGGGCTCCGGCAGCCGCCGGAACAGCCCGGAGCGCAGCCGCGACCTGCCCCGCCGCTGAGGGCCGAGCCCGCCCTACGGTCGCACGCAGGCGCAATCGCAGCCGCGCTGCTGTGGAGAAAGCGCGGGAAGGCGCATCCATGGCCGCGCTCCGCCGCTTTCCCCTCCGCAGCTCTCGGCTTCCCTTCACGCACCCGTTCGGGGAAAGCCCCATCCCGCCGTGCTCCCGCAGGCCGCAGCGCTGCGAGGCTCGGTCTTGGGATCCCTTTCCTCCAGGGGCGCGAGGAGTGCGCTGCCCGCTTCCGTCTTACGGCGCTAGAAGTCGCTGTCCCCCTGGCAGCGGGCAGCGGCAATAACGCGTGTGCCCGGGCCGCCCGTGGGGCTGCGGGTGAGCCAGGCCCGTGAGGAGTCCTCCCGCACCATCGGTCACCGTGGCACAGTGCCCCTGCTCCGCCCTGCCTGTGAGGTGAGCTGTGAGAGGGACTTGTGAGTGAAGGGACAAGGGGAATGGCTTTAACCTGCCGGAGGGGAGACTGAGATGAGCTCTCAGGCAGAAGCTCTTCCCTGTGAGGGTGCTGAGGCGCTGGCACAGGGTGCCCAGAGAAGCTGTGGCTGCCCCATCCCTGGCAGTGTTCAAGGCCAGGTTGGACACGGCCTTGGAGCAAGCTGCTCCAGTGGAAGGGGTCCCTGCCCGAGGCAAGGGTTGGAGCTGGGTGAGCTTTAAGGTCCCTTCAACCCAAACCATTCTATGAATTGCTCACATCCACTCGGCACACACGGAACGTCTGATCTTCACATATCAAATAATGTGAATTTGGGACGAGCTTTTGTCGTCTATAATCATCCAGGAAGTTATACCAGAGAAGCAGGGGAGAAGGTGCACCTCGAAAGAACTCCCCTGTATCTGTTGTTTCCATTCAAAACTCTGTGCCATAAGAAAAGTACCACCAACTTCATTCTCAGATAATATTTAACCTAAACAGTTTTCAAGCATTCTGTATTACAAACCAGAAAATGATACAATTAATGGAAGAAGTCCAAATGCTGGCATCACTTTGTTTCCACATTAATACATAAAAATGGACAACACATTAAATAAACATTTTGTTATTAACAATAAAAATATTAACACCAAAAATCATGTATAAATTAGGAAATAAATGTACAAACTATTTCCAAAGTGCTCTTTCAAATACATTATATACACAACATTCACGGAGTTCTTAATGTAAGACATTTCAGATTGATGTGTTGCTGTTTCATTTGAAGTGGTGTTCATATTCTCTCAACAGTATTTCAGCGCTTTCAAAAAACCACATAAAAGGCATATTTCCAAGCTGGCAAAGAGCAATATTGCATTCTTCTGGCTACCTGTAATATTAACATGGTAAAGAAAGCAATCTTCCTTGCTGTTCCTTGCTATTTGTATGAAAACACCAGCAGGAAAGATGAGAGAAATGAGGACCCACTATTTACTCAGTAATTAAAACTATTAATGTAGCATGGGCAGTGCTTGGACAACATTTAATAGTAAACTCTTTAGTTGTCCAGTTAAAGACTTTACAGAGAAAAATAAAAAGCAGTGAATTGGGAGATCTCTTCTTTTCCTTGTTGTCTTGGCTTTTCAAACCCCAAACTGAAATCCTATAAATACACCAGTTCAGGTAAAGAAAAGGAGAACAACCTACAGAGGGTGTATTTATATTGTAAATTTGCAGTTAATCTCATATTAAAATTGCTCACAGAGTGCGGTCATCCTGGCCTTCTGATCAGAGAAGTTTGGCCATGGTATTTCCGTCAGCACTTACATTAGCACTTTATAAGTGCTTTTTATCAACACTTCATAAGAACGTATAAAACTGCCTAGAAGTGACTCACATTGTCCATACTGGCTTTTACATACCACTAGTCTTTATTCCTAAATTCTCCCTCTATAGATATTCTCTCACTGGGTGACCCCATTAATAGTCCCCCTCTCTATATGCATAACACTGATTCGCAATTAAAGCTGAATTCAGCTGCTTATTTGCCACAAAGGTGGATTTTTTTTTTCTTTTACTTTTGAACTATTTCTGTCAAAATATCAGAGGAAAATAAAAACTGATGGTGAACTGTAAGAACAACAGACCAAATCATGTGACAGTATTTATGGTCATACTTGTGGGAAAATCCGAACACGGGCAATGGAAGAATCAGAACTAAAGAAGGATGCCAGCCACCTGCTTGCAAAATTTGGCATGAAAATGGATATGGGAGTTACAGAATTTGGAGTGGTATATTTAAGACTGGAGTTTTGCTAGATGGTTTTCTTAGCTAAGCACAATATGAAGCAATACTGATGTCTAGGAGGCTGACGCTGCAGATATGAGAATTCCCTTCTGTTTTCCTTTCCACAGTAGAAATACCTTAGTTTACATGGATATAGAAGAGATGCCTCTAGTGATTAACATTTCCTTGAATATAGGCTTGGATCCTCTTTCTGTACCTTTTACAACAGAAATGTGGATTTAGCAGATTACCTAATTGTAAGACTTGGGCAGGTGTTACAGAAGCTGCAGTTAATTCTATCATATAGTATAGAACTGTCTTCACATAAGGAACATATCCATACCTTTATTCTTAGGAAGTAAAGAGCCATGGATTTCAGAGGCCAGCAGGTAATCTTCAATGCATTCAGTTAGAAAAAGATCAATAACCTGCCAGGACAGGATACCCCCTGTACTGAGACATGACTGAATGGCTCCGTATTGAGCCAGACTGCAGAATAACCTGGCTGTTTTCCAGAACAGGGCACAGCTGTGATCAAATGATCCTAAAGCTATTTGGAAACATCAAGAATGGGGCTAGGGAGGGGGGTAAATGAAAAACTTCTGCATTGTATCAACATACAGTACTATACACAGCACCAAATATCAAACCATTAAAGCACTGTCGTGTTACCAGTAGTGCACTGCTTCATATCCAGCATGAAATGAACACTGTTCACATACAGACGCTGCTTTGTGCTAAGGGGTAACCAACATATTACAATTAATCAAAACTGCCTGTACATCCAGTTCAAAAGATGAAGATACTATTGAAATGAATCTGGCACAGGAACATGCTCTTTTATTGCTGGTAATTTCCATATTGTCCCTATAAAAAAGAGAAATAAAAATGTTGGAGACTAATATATCAGAAGTTTACAAATAGTGAGCTAGGCAATTTCTTTTGGCCTATGAATTTTGAAAGACCCACCGAAGTATCACCAATATGCCTGTACCAAATTATCAGATAGGTTTATAGTGGAGCTAACAGCTACATCTGCTTTTTCATAGCAGAGATTTAGAAGATTTACCTGCTCATAGCCATAAGGCCTCTGTTGCTGAGCGGATGGGCCGGTCTGGGAAGCTCTGTAACTCCCGTATTGCTGCCCCTGTCCCTGTTGGTAGCTGGAATACTGTGAAGAGGCTCCTTGTGCAGGACCTGAGAAGACAGTGAAAGCTGCTACTAAGGCTTGAGGGGGAGTTCTTGTGCTTAACATAATGTAACACATGATGGTAACAAAGCTCTATGAGTATGAACTATGAGTGGGTTTTGCCTAGACCTCCTCCCCTCTGGCTTTACACTAGAAAGTGTTAGTAATAGTAATAATCTAGTCCCAGTTTGGTTAACATTGCCTGTTCACAGTCAAGTCCCATCACATCTGGGAGAGCCACCAGAAATCCCCTGCCTCAAAGCTGTGATTTAGATTATTCTGATCTCTCTGGACCCTGGTTTTGTACTGAATAGCCTGATGTTTATATTTGGTTATATTGTACTAAATAAGCTGACAGTTTCTTTCTGATGAAGACTGAGGATACATACAAGATGCCTCTAACTGATAGGAAAGCTCAAAGACATCAAATTCGGATCTTTTTGATGATAGTGGGGAACTCTGCCACTGCTGACTTGAAGGGTTTGAAAGCCCCACACTGGTGTCCACTGCATGCTCAAGTCTCTTTTCTCCTTTCACATCAGTCCCTCACTAAGGAATAAAACCCCTATGATGCTGCAAGAATGATTCTAAGCGAGGGAGCAGTGACTCTCCAGACTGTTGATGTTATTTTTTCCTGTCAACTGCAGAACTGAGATGTGCAGGAGGCCTGAGAATCTAGACAGTATCCTCCTGCCCGCACTTACCAGGAAGACAACATGAGGCAAACCTGTATTTTCTAACTTTCTTTCAAAAGAGAGGGATTCAGGATAGATTCATGGAATGCGGTGCTATACTAATGTATGTTGCTGCCCAGAATCCCTTCACATGCAATACCCAAGGTTAATCAAAGAAATAGTTTTCAGCATATGTTATCTTAGGATGTGTCAGGATGAAGTACTGCAAACAGTTGGGCAGTCAGTGACTGCTTACCATATCCTTGCTGCTGTCCTGGGTAACTTTGTTGGTTTGGGTATTGCTGCTGGGAGTATGTTTGCTGTTGTGCAGCTCCCTGTTGGTATCCTGCCTGCTGCTGGCTGTACTGGGAATTTCCTAAAGAGGGAAACATTGAAAGAGTTGGGTTATAGGTGAGGCAGGTGTTTCACTGTACATGTAAGTCACGAGGAAGACAAAGGCAGAAGTAGCCTTGGTCTGGAACTCAGACAAATACTCTTCTGAAAGAGCTGATTCATTTTTCCAAGCAGGATGTTTATTTCTGTAGTGAATTTTAGTTCATTTGAACAGGAGAGAGGTGTTTGTTTGTATCAGACTATACAGACAAAGAACCTGTTTCTCAAAGGATTTTTTTTACCCCAGAAGTAAACCACAGGTCCCAAAGGTAAGGGAGCCAAGGTAAAGAGCTGGTTTCTCAAGAAGCCACCCTCCCACTGTATTTTCTCCTAGATACTGATGTTTATTCCCATACCCCAAAACACCACTTACCCAATTGTTACTGGTATGTTTTAAAATACCTTTGATAAAAACTCCGTTTGCAGTATCCTGAAACAACCAAATGCACAGAGACTACACAGACGACACTGCTTTTCCTAAATGCATGCTCACTGTATCATAATTAACATTTTGCAGCTAATTTAGAGTTCAGATATCTTGACAATATCACTGAATTTATGATGTGCTACTGTTGAGAGGTTTTAGTGGTAAAATGGTAAACTCATAGTATTGATTTTCAAAGAGTAGTTTCATTTAACCCGTTGTTCTTCACCATTTGTAAGGTGAATTAAAAGATTAAAACCAGTTGGTTGGAATTAACCATTGGGCTTTCTTACTCCAGAGAATTATGACTGCCAGTTTTTGCCAGTTCTGACCCCATTTCTAGCTGCATTTTACCTTTGTCAGCATAACCATTTACTTTAATACAACCATTTTTATTCACATTATATAAACTGTTTGTTAATGTAAGGGAGAAGTCTTTTACTGCAAGAAAAGGTCAGTATCCGTAGCTCTAATTCCACCCTGCTCAGCTACAAACAAGGATCATTTTTGTAATGAAT